TGCAAGATAGATGTGCTGTAAGTATAACTTCAGCTTCTAGGAGAAATCATTATAAGGAGATGCAATTTCAACTCCAGTAGGAGAGTGGGAAGGGCAGGGTATGGTTATGGACCCTTTTCCTAATTTGAAAAGGACATTTGTGAGGGAGTCCTGTGTAGATGTAGAGAAGAATTATGGAGCTGTCATTCTTGTCCGGCAGCTGCTTCTGACTCTGAAAGCAATTTAGGGGAGAGCCAAGTGGAATGGAGCCTTACCCTTTTAATTAGCCCCAGGAGCCAGGTAAGGTAAATATTTGTGGCTAAAACTGCATGAATCCATGGAAGTTGGGATTTCAGCCTAGAAGCATTGTGCTGCCAAGTTGCTATGAAACCCAGAAAGCTGGGGCTATGTTTTGCCTCAGAAAGGGCTTCTGAGTTTAAGAGAAGGAGGAAGAATAACAGAGTAGTGGTATTAAGGTCTCCGTATTTATCAGAATGACGAGGGTATATCTATCTATGCCTTGTGCTAAGTCACAAATTGTACCTATTTTAATTTTATCTCAATATTTATTTCTATTTTACTTCAAATGTAGATATATTTAACTTACTGCATTTATTAACTCATTATCTGGTTTCCAGTGATATTAAATACTAATCAGATCTTTGCATTGCCTTGCTAAAAACTTTTCAATGCCTTTCCATTTCTCTTAGGAGAAAATCCTGACTCCTATAGTGTCATATGCAAGGTGACTGAAATTTATAATCCAACCTGAGATTGCTTTTAACATTTATGGTGGGGAAACAGGTGTAAAGGGGACTTTCCTAGAAAAACCAAGATGTATCCATGAAGCTCTGTTGGATGTTGCTCTTAGTTTCATCTTTTACTATCCCCATCTGCTCACTTGGCACCAGGTATGCTGGCCTTCCTTCTGTTGCTTCGAGAAGTTATGTTGGGGCTTTTGCTGTCCCCTGGATCATGCTTATGTCTGCTTTATTTCTCTTTGGGGTTCTAGGTGTCAGCTTTTTGGAGAAGCCTTCCCTGACCACCCAGTATACAGTGGTCTCCCCAGTTATTCTGTATTTCATCTCTCTGCACATTTCCATCATCATACCTAATGAACAATGACAAACAAGATCCTGATCTCTAAAGGATCTTGTTTATGTATTTGTTTTCTGTATCAGCTACCAGAATGAGGCTAGGAACTTGTCTGTCCTCACTGGCCTGACACATGGTAGGGGCTCAGTAAACACATGGAAAATGAATGAATGATCTTTAAATTGGACTAAGTGACCCACGGATGCCTGTTGCCTTGATTCTTATCATGTGAATAAGGTCCATTGTCAGTAGAAGAGAATGCAGTGAAACAGAGAAAAGCAGAGGGGAGAAAGAAAGACAAGGGTGTGGGCTGATGCTGGATGCGTCCTTGGTTACAGGCCCTACAGATATACAGTTTATCCTTTACTTCTTCCTTAATGGAGTGAGATTCAGATATATTGTAAATAACCTTTCCTCCTCTTGCTTAACCTTATATAATTACCATTGGAATTGAGACTCCATTTTTGCAACCAAAGACTTCTAGCAAAACTTAATTAACCTATTTCCTTTGGGATATATATTTCCATTTTTAAAAAGGAAAACATTGGGGCAGAATCTGGGCCCTAAGCCACACTGACCTCTGCTTCCACTGTCACATCTCCTTCTCTAACTCTTACCATTTTGCTGCCCTTCATAAGGATCCTTCTGATTATATTGGGCCCACCTGGATAACTGGGATAAACTCCCCATCTCAAGATCCTTAAGTTAGTTATATCATCAAAGTCCCTTTTTCCATTAAGGTAACATATTCATGCATTTCAGGGATTGGGACATGGGCATCTTTAGCAGGTCATTCTTCTGTCTACCGTGAGAGCCATGCCCTTATTGCCTATTTCCTCCTTTGGTAGCTGGAATGTAGGTATAACAGATGAAGTTTAAGCAACCATCTTGAGCCATGGCTTGGAAGCGACCTGCTAAGGAAAGGAGAGTAGCAATACAGAAGCCTCAGGGTCTCTGACAATTTTGTAAAGCTACCCTACCAGCTCTGGACTGCCAGGCTCCTGACTTTTTTTAGGTTATTTTGAGTTTTCTAAACTGACTCACACAATTACATTCTTTTTTTTTTTTTTTTTATTCATGAGAGACACACAGAGAGAGGCAGAGACACAGGCAGAGGGAGAAGCAGGCTCCATGAAGGAGCCTGATTCGGGACTCGATCCCAGGACCCTGGGGTCATGACCTGAGCTGAAGGCAGATGCTCAACCACTGAGCCACTCAGGTGTCCCACAATTACATTCTTTACGCTCTTCTACTTTCCTCCTCTTCACTTGGTTTTTATATCCCACCTATTTTTCCATACTCTTAAGTATTTTACAAAAATTTGAGTTTTGATGACAGTACTGTACTCTAATTTTTATTTAAAGATCCTCCAACTATTTGACAATTAGATTATTTGCAACTTTCTTTTGCTATCATGAATTAAAAGTTCCAGTTTTTTAGTAGAGAATTCTGAGAAGAAATTCATGGCTTTATGTGGATGTCACATCACGGCATATGCTCATGTTTGACCGTTGAAGATCTAAGTCAGGTACGAGCAGCTTACCCTGATTAAATGAATAGCATCTATAAGAAATTCTTCAACTTCAGATCTCCTGAATTTGAAAATCTAAATAGAGTGAAGTGACAGGCACATCACAAATACAACATTTAAAAAACTACTAAGGTGACAATAACATTGTCCTTTTTATTAAAAAAAAAACTGTTATATATTTGAGTAAAACCTGATTTTATTAAATATTTTACATTGAATTTTTTTGCAAAGAAGATCATAGGGGGGGAAATGAGCCCTTTGTACTCTAACTCTCCAGTGGACAAAAATAAATTATATTATTCTGTCAACATCCCACACAAATAGCACATTAGGCAATCTTTAGTGCTCTATATTGTTTCCCTGAATAGCGGTCATAAAAGAAGCTCAAAGGAACACAAGTATAGGTCAACGATAAGAACTCTTTTGTAATATGCAGTTGCAGGGCATGAGTAACTATAGTGAAGAGCAAGTCTACAGTGTATTTCTCTGTGGATGGCTTTCCCTTGCCAGTAAAATTTAAGATGTTATTTATTTATCTATTTATCTTACCACTCTCAATTTCCTTACCATTTATTTGTCTTCACTATAGTCTTTACTACTTAATATTGTCTATTTATTTGTTTACTAGTTTTGGTTACCACATAAAATGTTAAGTCTATAGCGCAGGGTCCTGTCTACCTTATTCACTGGAGCGGCCACAGTGTCCCATCACAAAATACCAGCTGCAAGATGAGGAGGGCCTAGAGATGAGACCAAAGGGATGTGTGTTGACTGGATCCTAGAGGGACTGCAAGGACTTTGACTGTATCCTGAGGCAATGAGTAGTCACAGAAGGATATTAAGTTGGGAGGTGGGAGATGGTGAGTGAGATGATCAGGTTTGGATTTTATTTTATTTTTTAAAAATATTTTATTTATTTATTCATGAGAATACACAGAGAGGAGAGAGAGAGAGGCAGAGGGAGAAGCAGGCTCCATGCAGGGAGCCCGACTTGGGACTCGATCCCAGAACCCCAGGATCACGCCCTGGGCTGAAGGCGGCGCTAAACCGCTGAGTCACCTGGGCTGCCCCACGTTTGGATTTTAGATAATAAGTCTGGGTTTGGTGTGGAGAAAGGATTCGGGTTGGGGGAACAGTTTGGGGGAAGACAAATGAGGAAGCTTTCGTGACTTGCCAGGTGCATGAAGATAAGACCTCAAACTAGAAAGTTGGTAATAATGAGAGCAATAATAATAATTACTTTAGCAAAGTTTTCTGCATGGTCACTAAAATCCATTTTCTAGACTACATATCCCAGGCTCCTTCATAGTTAGGTGTGTCCTTGTGATTATGTTCTAGCCAATAGAATGTGAGAAGAAATAATGAGTTCTAATTCCAAGTCTGACCCATAGGAATTTCCCATACACACGTCTCTGTCTTCTTTCCTTTTTCTAGCTAATAGGGATGGAGAAGCCATGTATTGGAGATAATTGGGAATCCATTAATGTAGGTCCTTGCAAAGTCATGTAAAATTGCCCCAACTGACCAAGAACACCTTGGAATGTTACATAAATGAGGAAGAAATATCTATTGTGTTTGAACCAATGAGTGAAAACCATTTTAGCTCTATTTGTTATAGCAGTTAATGTTATCTTAATGAATTTAAGAGCTTGTTTTTGGTTAGGTATCATTCTTTATACTTTATATATGATAACTAATTTAATCTCCACAACAACCCATCGAGTAACATATTGTTATTATCCCCAATTTACAGATGAAGTAACTGAGATACAGAGGAAATATGTAAGCTACTAATGTTATAAACCTGGGAAATGAGAAAGCCAAATTTGAGATTCTGGCTCCAACATTTTAAGCAATATCTGATAGTGGAGCTGGATAAGGATTAATAGTGTTTTTTTAAAGAATTTATATATATATATATATCATATATATATTAAAGATATATATATATTAAAGATATAGATATCCTTTCTTTTCACTTAAACATTCTGAATAAAAATAGAACCTGGGTGGCTCAGTTGGTTGGGCATCTGCCTTTGGCTCAGGTCATGATCCCAGGATCCTGGAATTGAGCCTCATGTCAAGCTCCCTGCTGAGCGGGGAGCCTGCTTCTCCCTCTTCCTCTGCTATTCCACCCCTTCCCATCCTCCCCCCCGCCCTACTTGTGCTCGCTTGTGCTTTCTGGCTCTTTCTCTCTAACAAATAAATACATAAATAAAATCTTTTAAAAAACCAAACAAACAAAAAAAGCCCAAGAAACATGAAATTTTAAAAATGTTTAATATTCAAGTATAAACATTAATTAAAATTAAAGTCACTAATTATGAAATAATAATACATATTTTTTTAAATTTAAAAAGATAAGTTCTCTTATCATTGTGTTTCCTGGAAACAGACTCTGAACCTGTGGTTTCTACGGGGGAAGTTCATTGTGAAGTGCTCCCTGGAAGTGAGGGAAGCAGGCTTGGGAGAAAGAAGTTGAACTACAATATAGTCACAACAGAAGGCATAGCCCATTCCATGGAAAGCTCCAGTGCTGGGACAACACTTCAGAGTTATTTCCTCATCAAGGCAAGAGATCTGGGCTTTCATGTACTGCTTCAATTAGTCATTGAATGTGGGCTGTTGGCTAGGAGAGAATATAAGCTTGGGTAAGACAGCTTCTTTGGACAGGGATTCAACTGTGACCTAGTGCTCCCAGAAGTTGGAGGAATGGGCATCATGGTCTTGAAGGGGCAGGGAGAGGAGGACAAATTGGATGGTGCACCACAATATTCACTATAAAACAACTAAGAATAAATAAGCACTATATTTGTAAATCATTGAGCTTCAGACTCATACATAGAGCCCACTATTTCCTGATTGTGCCTGAAACATAAGAGTGCTTATAAGAGGACAAGAGACGAGACTTCAGAGATGAGTTGAACCATCTGGAAGCATAAGTGGATGCCAAGAAACTTGGGTGAGAGGGAAGTCTAGTGGCAGTATGGAGATGGATTGGCACAGGGACCACTCTTGGGCATACCTTTCACGGCTCTTGTAATAGCCCATTGCATAGGGACCAAAGCCGGAATAGGTGCCCCTAAGGTTCTATTTTTATTCAGAATGTTTAAGTGAATCAGTGTCAATGGGATGGAGAAGGGCTGAACTTGCAGGACATTTTAAAGGTAGCTTTCAATGGTTTTAAGTGGCTGAATGTGCAGATAAGGGAAGATTTCAGACAAACCCTGTTTTTGTAGCTTGGGAGGCTGTGAAAGATGATGCTTGAAGGGAGATTACAATCACATTCCCCCTATAGGGCCCATGTTCCCCCTGTGGGTGTCCATGTTCCCCCTGTGGGGTCCATGTTCACCCTATGGTCCATGCTCACTGTGGGGGCCAGTGTGAAATCTTGACTATCTTTTTAATTGACAAAACAAAAATAATTATTACTTACTTTCTCTTTTTCTTCTTTCATTTTTCTTTCTTCTGAGGAGACTGTTGCTTCATTTTGTCTCTTAAAATGAGTCGTTCTTTCCATCTATAATTTTTTTTAACAATCTATTTTAACAAAAATGTCTTTCATCATGCTTCCTCTTTTCAGTTACAAATCTAAGTGTATTTGAACAAAACATTCACTTAAACAAAACAAAATTTTAAAGCCCTGACAGGAAATCCATTTTTTTTCTTTATTTCTTCATTTTTTGGCAGTTCTGTCTTGGCCCATAATAGATGTTCTGATGATAGCCTTGGAATTGTGGATGGGATGAGAGGTAACATGAAGTGTGCTAGGCTTGGGGACAATGTTGCCTGTGAGTGACTGGTTGCTGTCACTGTAGATGTACAAGATTGTTTATTAAGGCTGAGTCTGAATGACCATTATGAAACCCCTTGGTATACCCCATGAATGTAACCATTATGCACCTCTAGTTGTTGTGCTATGCTCTTTTTATTTTCTGAAGCAATAGTAATTTTCTGACCTGATATATGTAAGATTAAAATCTAGCCTTCTGCAGGCTGCATTTTTGCCAAGTAATTAGAAAAGTTTTAACAGTAGAGAAATTTATTTTATTTTTAGAAAGGGAGGGGGGAGGGGCAGGGGGAGAGGAAGAGAGAGAATCTAAAGCAGGCTCCACACCCAGGGCAGAGAGGGATATAGCGCTCAATCTCACGACCCCAAGATCATGACTTGAGCTAAAGATCAAGAACCAGATGCTTGACTGACTGAGCCAACCAAGCACTGCAGGAGAAATTTATTTTAAAAAGAAAAAATGTTAGTAACTAAGTGAGATCAAGTCAGTGTAGAAGACATTTATGTCGTAGAAACTGGAGGCAGCCAGATCAAATCAATCACTCATTTAACAACATGTATTGTGTAGCTTCTCTGCACCAGGCGCTATGCTAGGTATGCCAAGAATCCAAAGGTAGATGAGACAGATGGTCACATCTCTCACAGAATGTACCTTCTAATCATGAGAATAGAAAATAAAAAATAAGAAGGCTTCTGATGTTTGTAAGTCCTCAGAAGAAAATATCCAGTCCTTCTTTCCCATTTCAAGAGGCTGCCCTTGTGAGAAATTGGATCTTTCAGGGACTTAGAAGAGTGATAATGTGAACCCAAACTTGCTGCTAAAATAGGCAAATTGACAGACTTGGAATTTGTTGGGGGTAAGGAGAATGAGATTTTAAAACTTTGAGTATAAATGTGACAGATGTAATTTAAACTTTCTCCTGGGACAGATGACAGGCATTGTTCATGAAGATGCTGAATATCAACAGTTAACTAGTGAAAACTATCATGAGTGCTCTTTTAGCCAAGTTCCACTTAAGTGACTAATAGGAGGAATCAGTGCTTTTGATTTCCTTGGTGAAGATGTGACTGGTAGTTCAAACCCACGTCTATCCTTGCCAGCCCATCTCTTCTTTCCCAAGAGCTGAATTTCATGTGCTCTGAGACTCAGAATTATTCCTGAAGAAGTTTCACTTGTTATTTGAATTATACAATTTACTTTTATATTACAGTAACAGTGGAGTCTGAAGAGAGGTCTGGAGAGAGAGAAGTATTAAAATGAAATTTAATTTAAATGGAATGATGTTTGAAAAGACTCATTGATGACAAATTAGTTAATGGGAAAAGATTGAGAAAGATTAAAAAATCTACAGTATTTTGCTCATGATTGTTTTTAAGTTCTCACCCACTACAAGGAAAGAAAAATTGGAAGTGAAAAATAAGATCTTACGGGTGTGGTTTAGGTAAAAAAAAAAAAAGTAACTTTGGAACCTTTCCAATAAACTCATAGTGAGGAAAGGGCCAAGACCTTCCACCAGTTCGGTGAATACATTTACATTTATTTACGTTAAAATACAACATTTACAACAGAAACATATCCTTTCTTCCCCCAACATTTCTCTTTAGCCCATTAATTAACAATTCTGCTTGTGTTGCATACAATTTTCACTGTATTGTTGTGTGTGAAGTACAATGGAGGCTCATGATCCCTCCATTCAAAGAATTTAGGAGTGTAGTCCTAACATTATTAGGTAACTTACCTGTCTTCCAATAATTCCTTAACCTGAGCCAAATCTCCTTTCTGTCATTTGCACAGTGAGTGGAAGCAAAGAAAATATTTCCACTTTTTAGCAGCACCTTTCTTTTGAGAATATTGAAGCTCTTTAAGGGATGAATTTCTCATTAAGCAATCATGCTCATATGGCCCTAGAGAGGTGAACAGAGATATTTCTTATCCTTTCACTGAGGATGTTAGACCCATGCAAAGTAGGTAACAGATGTCTCCGTGCCATCTCTCAGAAGCATTATATTTCTGCTAAGCTCCCTGCCACATTGTGTCCTCTTCTCTATTCTTAGAAATTCCCAGTATTCACAGTCCCAGAGAACTATGAGAGCATTGAAAGAGCACTTGTCTGTGGGCCAGGACACGTGGGCTCAGACCCTGGCTATGCCACTAATTTGTGGGATCTTGGACACTTTAGTCAGCTTTTCTTTGCCTTAGCTCCCGCATCTCTAAAATGAGATTGACAGGATTTATCAAACCAAACAACCAGATTGGGGGAAAATAATGTTTGTCAAAACAAATATGGATTCCATCGCTGTGGATAAGGAAATATTCCCGTTTCAAAATATTGGCTCTCATTTTGTTATAGTGTTTTTGATCATGTGTTAATATATAGGTTCTGGTTTGCACATTCTTTATTGAGACCAGAATAGAAGTCCTTCCTTATATGTTTTCCCAATCTTGCCTACCTATACACCTTTACCATCTTCCATTGATGGACTCAGACTCTTCGTAAGAAATGTAAGGAAAGAGACAGACTATGGTCAGGATAATAATCTATTGTGCTCTGAGCTCCCAGATACCAGTAAGTGGATGCCATTTTCTAATGGTTTTGATGTTACATTGTATCTCTTCACTCATTCACAGAAGCATTGCTGGTAATGGTTTAAAAAAAAGAAAAAAAAAAAGAAAAAAATTTCTGGCAAGGGGATGGCTCAAGTAAATGATGGTATTTCTGTGCGATGGAAGGCCATTAGTGTAAAGATGTGTGGATGAATATTTTTGGCATAGAAAGATACTCACAATTAAGTGAGTAGGCAACTCAAATGAGTAATGTACAACACAATCCCATCTTGTTTTTTAAAAAGTTATATGAATAAAAATATTTGGAATGATATTCAGTGGCTATCTTTGGGGTGGTGGGATTACAGAAATAAATTTTCCTTCTTTATTATCTGCATTTTCTAATTTTCTATGATGGATATATGTTGCTATTGGCAAAAGAAAAAATTGATTTAAATCAAATAATATCCTATTGATGCCAAATATACCTATGGGAATGAAGAACAACATTTTGAAAAACCTAAATGCCGACTCTGAATAATGAATTAAAGATGAAAAATTGTTCAAAAATAGGAAGGTTGAAGATTATTTTTTAAAAGGATGGAATCATTTAATGACAATTGTTTAAAATAGACCAAGTATCAATCGCAGATCTTTTCTTCTTACCCAAATTCTACCTTAAACTGGTTTTCTTTTTTAAGATTTTATTTTATTTAATCATGAGTGACACACACGGGGGGGCGGGGTGCAGAGGGAGAAGCAGGCCCCATGCAGAGAGCCAGACGTGGGACTCGATCCCAGGTCTCCAGGATCACACCCTGAGCTGAAGGCGGCGCTAAACCGCTGGGCCACCCGGGCTGCCTTTAAACTGTTCTTAAAATGGACTCACCTTATGGTAAATAAACATAATATTTAAAAATATCTAAATTAATCAATCATTCATAGTGACACAATGTAATTTTTTCCTTTTCTAACAAAATATCACTTTAAAAAAAATCACTTTTTGCGTCTCGATGGAGGAGCGAGAAACGGAAGAGGTGGGGGGGAGGCGGTGGGGGGGAGGCGGTGGGGAGACGCAGCAGGAAAAGTACAGCCACCATCAGCGCCGCTTTCCTGCCACCGCGTATCAGGGTAAAAAGCTGCCTTTGCCGTTGGTGCAGTTGCCGTCGTCGCCTCCTACTTCTTTTGGCCCCGGGGAAGGACATGTCCGGGGTGGGGAGCGGGAGTTCCTTTACGTGGCGGTGATTAAACGAGGGAGGGACAGAGAGAAGGTGATCTCGAAGAAGAAAGGGGGAGGCCAAAGAATAAAACAAGGGTTTCCCCCACTAAAATGAAAAAAATAAAAAAAATAGAAAAAAAATAAAATAAAAAATAAAAAAAATCACTTTTTAAAACATGGAAATGTCTTTATCTTTCTTATCATATTAAAAAGTGTAAGTTACCAAATGCTTCCTATCTGCCTATGTGTCAGATACTTGAAATGTTAAATTGATTGGGTAATTTATTTAATCATAGCTGCCTTAAGAGATAAGTATTACTGTGTCCATTTTATAGTTGCTGAAAACTAAAACCCAAAAAGTTAAGTTTATTACCCTACCATAAGTAGCAGAACCACAGGCCTTAAAAAAATATTTATTGAATCCACTTTGCTAGCCATTGTGTACTGTGTGCTGGGAATACACCAATGAATGAGACCTATACCTCAAAGATATATTTATATTCTAGTTGGATAACATGGACCAAATAATTATAAATGTAATGAATCTTACAGTAGGAAAAATACAGCATGTAGAGGAAGAGTTAATCTGGTCTGCAACATCTGTCCCATATATAATACATTTAAACTAAGATATGAAGCATGAATAGGAGTTAATGAGACAAAGAGAGGACATGGAAGAGTATCCGTGGTAGAGGGAACAGTATATGCTAAGTCACTGAGATGACATTTTACTGCAACAATTTGGCATAACCAATCATTCACAACTCTGGCTTAAAATAATAAGCATTTACTTCTTTCGCGTGGGTCTTATATAACTATGAGCAATATAACTATGAATCAGCCGCAATTTCACTGCGCTTGGCTGAACTCCAGAATTCAGGTCTCCCTCACGTGTTGCTCCCCTTCTTTTGACCAATAGTTTTCTGGAACATTATTTTTTCATAGTACATAGTACATGGCAGAAGCACACACAAGCTGATTTAAGACCTCCTGTCATGTTCAGG